ATTCAAACGCGAGTTTTGAGCAGTGTAGAGTAGCGCTTGTTGTTTGTCATTTCTACGATTATAAATGCAGACATGGTTTTCTGTTTACACAGCGTGATGCAACGCAACGCGTAAAACGACAGTATAAGTCATTATAATCTATAATTTCTGTCTGTCTGTCTGTCTGTCTGTCTGTCTGTCTGTCTGTCTGTCTGTCTGTCTGTCTGTCTGTCTGTCTGTCTGTCTGTCTGTCTGTCCGTCCGTCCGTCCGTTGATAGTTGAATAATTAAGGGTTAATGTACTGTTAACCAGACATTATTACCAAATAAACCTTTGGTAGGGTACTAGAGACCATCTGACTGTGTGTGAACCAACTTATTTCACGGCTGCTTACCAAATTAATAAATAAATGGACATGAAATACTAATTTGAGTTTAAATTACTGGATTATGTGAGAAGAAAGAGTGTGGAACGATACATGAGACAGATATGTAGGAGTTGGTGGGTCAACTGATTACATGATACATGATCAAATGTAGCAATTGACCAATCAGAATCAAGTATTCCGGAGTGTAATAATCTGTTAAATGACTGCAGTGTTTAGAGATGACTGTATCTCTGTAACTTGGTCGTAACGTTGTGTTTGTGTGTGTTTCAGAGTCTGGGCTCCATCGACAGGAAGGGAACACAGCAGAGAAGGTAAGACACGTCTGTGTCACGCTCTCATTTGGGTGATGCCAGGGTTAAATATGCCATAATGAAACAGTCAAGTCATTGGGAATGTGTTTGACCTTAATTGGGCCTAGTGACCCAGAGAACAGAGAGATAATCTAGTTTTAGCCAAACTGTAATCTAGAGTAAGCATTTATAATGCCAAGCTGAATGCGATTATGTGTTAGTCTGAAGTGAGCATTTGCGAGAAAATTCACCAAAAGTGAGCTAAATTAGACATACAGTAACTTTCCTTTGGGGTCGTCTTCAATTGGGTAGGTGTTTCTTATTTTGTTTTTTTTATTTTAAAAATGCACAAAATTTTCGGGGTACAGTTAGAATGTGTTTAGGGTTGATCCACGGCGCGAAGTTGAAGTATTTCCTCAGCGACCAGCAAGTATCAGCTATCGAACTCTTTTGGAAGTCCAAACAAAGTAGTTTCGCTTTCGCAACGAAGCACACAGCACCTTCACGACATGGCGGCGGCGGCAACAATACTACAGCGAGAATAAAAGTTACGCCTTCTTTCTTTGCGTGAACATTTGGGCGGCGTTATGCAAATCTTCCCACATAGTGATGTAGATATGTGGGGGCGTGTTAGAACGAGCCGTTTTAGGTAGGTGTGGCTGACTCTTAACTTTTATAAAGAATATCTCTTTGGATTTGAAACTTTAGTCTTTGCAACTTTACAGATCTTCTTTATGCACCAAGAGCTTGTAACACTCCAAAGAGAAAGGAAAAATTGAAATCGCATCATATGACCCCTTTAAGTTAAAATGCGGCTTCACAAGTCAGTAAAAATGAAACAAGTATCTCATGAAAGAAATGGATGCATTAAGGATCAGGGTACTACAGTATCGCTAAGTGTTGTGACAGCAGCTCTATAGTTCACTGAATATGTGAGCGCAGTAACTTGCTTCTGTTTCCTGTAGGTTACGCATCAGCTGCATTTGCTATGTTGCATCTCAAAAATTAGTGAAATAAGTCTCTTTAATGTTTTAGCGCTCCTGACATGTTAAATCGTCTTATTATTGGGTCGGTGTCTTTCTGAGTCTGTGAATTATGAAACTGTCACACAATGTGGCGTAGGAGAGCCTTCCTATCAACAAGAACACCATGTTACCTTGGTTACTAGATTGAAAATGGCAGATCTCCTAAATCTGTCACTAATGGCTGACTAATGAGAACTGAACCGCTGATCGGATCTGATCAAAGGACGAGCACAAGATGAAGTCTCGTTTTCCTCTCTGGGTAGGTTATATAAAGCCGCTTTGTGAGATTTCTCACCCAAGATCGATGATAGCTGATGTAGTGTCGGTTATTTGGCCTAATTAGTATGTCATCATTGTCAGTAATTAGTTAGTAATTAGTGTCTGTTCTGGTCGCAGGTAAACGGCTCCATGTAGCAGTTAACAATGTGTCCTTACCAGACATGAAGCGCCAAGTCAGTGTTTCATCCTTGCTGAAAGTTAAATGCTGTGCAAAGCAACAAAATCACATTTAATAATTTCACAAAATCTAAAATCAAACTGACAGCAGTTAAATACACTACTGTTCAAAAATTTGGGATCAGTAAGATTTAAAAAAAAAAATTCTAAAAGAAGTCTCTTCTGCTCACCAAGGCTGCATTTATTTAATCAAAAATACAGTAAAATTCTGAAATATTATTACAATTTAAAATTGCTGTTTTCTATGTGAATATATTTTAAAATGGAATTTATTCCTGTGATGCGAAGCTGAATTTTCAGCATCTTCAGTGCTTCAGTCTTCAGTGTCACATGATCCTTCAGAAATCATTCTAATATGCTGATTTGCTGCTCAAGAAACATTTCTGATTATTATCAATGTTGAAAACAATTGTGCTGCTTCATATTTTTGTGGAAAGCGTGATACATTTTGTTTTAGGATTCTTTGATGAATAGAAAGTTCAAGACAACAACAGATATTTTAAAAAAGAATCTTTTGTAATATTATAAATGTCTTCACTCTCACTTTTCATCAATTTAATGCTTCCTTGCTGAATATAAGAGTTAATTTATTAAATTATTAATTTTTTTAAAACATAGTGATCCTAAACTTTTGAACTTTTTAGAGACCTGTCACATATGTGCCATAAGTCGTCTCAAATGGAATTGAATATGAATACGTTTTTCCATTTTTTTTTACTAAAAATGTGTATAGACAGTTTATTTTTTGAACGTAACTCTGAAATATACAATTTTGTTCATGAATATGCGGTTTACTTGCTATTAAGTGTCTCGGAATAAACTTTGGCAAACGTTGGAAGACTTTCCAGTCAGGCAGACAGAATGAAACCTGTGTGGCCTTATGTTTAGAAGTTAAATTCAGCCAGTCACATTGTTTTTGTGTGCACTGAGTGAACGCAATCAGTGAACGAACTGAATTAGTGAGGAATAAAATGCATGCGCTCTAACCATTTGTGGTCTCGCGTTTGGACGCCTAGCAACCAATTGTGAACAAATCACATTAACCTTAAGTTGTAAGACTAGTTTTTGTGGATTGCATAACTGAAGGGAGAAAATCAAATGAATTAGCATGAATGATATATGGCAGCAGTGTGTGCATGTCTCTCTGTCTCTCTCTCTCTCTCTCTGACCCACATAAGCATTTTTCACATAAACAGTCTAATAACTTGAATAAGTGTGCATGTTTCAGTGTTTGGTTTTGTGGTTGATGTGTGTATGTGTAAAGGTTGACTCAGCCGTGTGTGTGTGGAGGGGCTGGCGTTGTGGTTTGCGTCTTTGATGTGGTTTGGCCATGAAAAGTCTGACGGTTCCCCAACAGTGCCGTGCCAGAGACACACACACACCTCAATAAAGCCCCGCCAGAGGAACTTTCCTGCGAAAACATCGCCTGGCATCGTGTGTGTGGCATCGTCTTTTCCGTTCTAATTTTTCTCATTCTCTCGCACACAGACATATATATATGCGCACATTTGGCCACGGGTCTGGTTGTAGGTACGGAGATGACACAGCGGAAACCACCGGCTCGGAGAACTTCCTCACAAACACACGCTGTTGTGTTACCGAGCGTGTGTGTGGTTTGCGTCTATAAATGTATGACACGTTCACACGCTCGTGATCCGCTCCAGCATAAATAATCACCGTGATGGCTGTCTCCACTCTGATTGGAATCTTGACGCCATGTGGAATTGTGGGATTCTGGAGGGAACGACAAGATGGGAGACGCTTTCGGTCCATTCCGGCATTCCGGCAAAGACCAGAGAGAGAGAGAGACGGGGCGAGTAGGTGGCCCTCTAGAGAAGCCACTTTTATTTTGGAGTTCTGGGAACATGAATCTGAAGTGTGTGTACTAGACTGATGAGTTTATAGCTGTACTTGGTGTTGATATACATGTGGTTTTCTTTATAATCAAAAATATACCAACTTTTCAGCTTCTGAAATTGCTTTTTGACTGCACAGGCTGTTGATCAGTCGTCATAATATAGCAGTCATTTAGAATTGACTACGATAAATTACAATTTATTTCTGGGATTTGATCAAGATTTAGAATTGCAATTCAAATTGAAATGTAGGGAAGAAGAATTAGGGTTCATTGAAATTCCAAGAAATGTATTTAGCTGTAATTGTCGACTAGAGAAGCAAAAGTTATCAAGACAACTTTTAATGTTGATTAGAAATTTTTGATTAAAGTTTAAGAAGCCTCAAAATTTGAAGGTTTATATGCTTGATGGATGGACAGAGTTTGATGGACGGATGGATGGATAGATAGATGGATGGATAGATAGACGAAAAGACAAATTGCCGGATAGATAGATAGACAGACAGACAGACAGACAGATAGATAGATATATAGATAGATAGATAGATAGATTTTTTGGGGGGATCTGGGTGGAAGAACGCTTCATTTCCCAGAATGCATCACTGATGCTGAATTGTGAATTCAGTAAATTCCTCCTCCTGTCACTCAAATTTAAATGCCAGTTGAACTTCCTATGAGGAGTGTGACTGATTCCAATTTAAATTCACAATCATGATTTGAAAATTAAGTTGATTCTTCTTTTCTGAGTCACTTTAATGATGATTTTTGTTCATTGAAAGTAAAAAACAAACCCCAGTGCTAACGTGTGTGTGTGAGGTGTAAAGAGCACCTGAAAACCATACTTGAGTAAAAGTACAGATACCTTATAGCGAAAATGACTCCATTAGAAGTTACAAGCCACCAATTACAAAACGACTTGAGTAAAGAGTATCTGATTTGATCAGTACTTAAGTATTTAACTTAAGTATTTAAAATGAAAAAGTCCAAGCCTTCTTGCACTAGACGTGCTGGCTTCAGCCTCACCGCTGGCTGTAGTAATGCCCTCATCTCGTATATAAAACACTGGGATTCCTACCTGCTAATGCACTCACATTCACATAAAGAAGCCTTGTTGACAAGTTTGGGTGAGTAAGGCCAAAACGCACAAGATTGCCCTGTAGATCGCAATATTGCTTCTTTTGTAGTAAAAATAAGCTGCTGCAGAAAAAGTTAGGTGCCATGCAAAATGTAATGAGTAATTGCATGAATTATTACAAATGTATTGGAGTGAAGAGTATACTGATTCAAAAATGAAGTGAAGCAGAGAGTAAAAGTTGCTAATACCTTTGATACTCAGTAAAACTACAAAGTAGACAAAAATATACTCAAGTACAGTAACTAATTACATTTACTCAACTACTTTACACCACTGGTGTGTGTGTGTGTGTGTGTGTGTGTGAGAGAGAGAGAGAGGGACAAAGCCTTTAAGTGGAATAACGGCACGACACATTTGATGTGCGGTATGGAGAGCTTTTATTTTAGCCCTAACTAACCAGTTTCTGTCTGCGCTGGCACTGCTGTTTAATACTGTGTGTGTTTGGTATTTATATGCTCGTCTAATGAGCAGCCTGGGCCGAAGCGCTGGATCTGTGCACTGGCTGCAGTCTGAGCGCCCATCGACATCAAACAACACAGGCAGACACTCACCTCTCCCTCGCTCTCCAGCTCCAAAACCTAGTGAGACGCCTACCTAGACAGCATACAGATAGTACTGCCTTCACTCAAAAAATACTTTGAATTGCATATCAAATTTCCATCCAGTTGAATTACAGTTTTAACAGACTTAACTTAATATGATGCATATTTGTCAGTCATACATCAATGAAACCGGTGAGATTTACACACTCAAAAAATCATAGCATTATTAATAACGATTTTATTTTATTTAAATAATCATAAAATGCATTTATTCAGATTTTAGTACTATTACAGAAATCTGACCTATTTCATTTATGCATGACTGGCAGCGTTGGGTAAGTTACTTTAAAAAAGTAATTAATTACTAGCTACTAATTACATCTTCAACAGTGTAATTACTGTAGATTACTGTACTAATAACTCTCTCTAAAAAGTTTTGCATTACTTATTGCAACCTCGACCAGTTGAACGATACAAGGATGGACATGAAACTGCTCTTTTAATTCTTTTAAATAAATAATATAAAATTGCATAAATTATTTTTGGACTGACCAGTGTATTTAAAGGGAGAAGGAATTGTCCTGTAGTCTATACAGTATTTAATGCAATTACATCAGAAGTAACTAATTAAATTACAGAAAAAATAAGAGTAATCCCTTACTTTTAAATTACAGTAGTTATTAACTTAGTATTGCAGTACACCTAACACTGCTGACAAATATGCTTCTCATCAAGTTTATTAGTTTGTTTGTTAAAACTGTGTGACAGTTCATTTATAAATCCAGTTCATTTCATTTTTATTCATTTTATATTGCTTTCCACTTGCATGTTCATACTTAGAATCATTGTGAAATCAATCAAATGTATTCAAAGCAATTTGAATGAATGTATTTTGAAAATATTATTTAAATAAAATCAAATAGATGCTAATAGTTAAAAATAAACTATGCTATGATTTTTTGAGTGCATAAATCTGACCTGTTTCTTACCTGTATTGGATTTATTGATGATAAATATATAAACCTGGTTATTGTGTTTTTAAAACACATTCAGTTTATTGTTACTATTAGAGAAATCTGACCTGTTTCATTGATGTATGACTGACAAATATGCATCACATTAAACGGCATAATCAAAATGCATGGAAATTTTATATGCAATTCAAATACAGAAATTCTAAATTTAAGCCTAAATATTTTTGAGTGTTCTATTGGCCAAATTCTACAATGTATCCTTCATAAAGAAGGCAATCCCAGAATGCTTTGTGCAGCTGACTTGATTTTGAAACAGATCTTCTCTCTCTCTCTCTCTCTCTCTCTCAATCATGTCTCAAAGTGCATACGAATTAAGCATTGACTTGTGCCGTGTTTATGTTTGGTATTTATTTTTATACCGGCGTTTGTGTGTACATGTCCGTACGGCGTGTGTGTGTGCTCTTGAAGGAGGTGATGTCATCACTCAGGCCTTCCTACTGAAAGAAATCTTCTAATGGCATTACATCAGCACATGGGACCCCGACCGAGCGCAGTGTCATCCAGAACAGCTGCCGCCGGAATCAGATTCATCCCGCTGTCCTTCTTCCTGTCTTATTCCCAAATGGCTTCTTTCTAGGAACATTCCCTCTAGAAATACGGATGCGGTCACCTCTCCGTGGCATGAGCGTTTGGGACGCGCTGGCACTGCCGTTCGCCCGCTGACCTTGTCCTTCACTGTTTAAACATTCTTCAGTCACACTTGTTGACTTGTTTGTCATTAAGCGATTGCAGGATCGTTCATTCACGCATTTGCAGCTCTGTCAGCCTCACACGCACAGATCTGCATATAGCGTCCGCTGCTGCTGTTATGACGACACTGTTGCTAATGAGACGACTAATTCAACACATGCAATCCCTCTTACATAAAGTTTTACAGGGGAATCTCTTGGAGAACATCTCCAGGTCATATTGCACCTTATTGTGACATTATTTTCTTGATAATTAGACATATTTTCCTTCTAAGTTTTTTAAAATGATTTTTTTTAAATATACAGTTGGTCCAAAAGTCTCAGACCTCATATAAAATCTTTTAAAAATGGGAAAACCTGGGATTAAAAATAAATAAATAAAAATTAAAAAATTAAAACCTGGAAACAAACATCATTTTAGGATTTTGAACGATGTAAAACAGTAAAAAGAATGTATTTATTTATTTAAATGTAATATGTTTATTATTTAGTTGTTTTGTTATATTATCCACATTTTATTATTTATTTATGTATTAATAATAATAATAATAATAATAATTTTATTATTAAATGTTTTATTTATTTATTTTTGATTCAACCAAGCTAAAGTGTTTAAATTTTTAAAGTGATGCTGAAATGGTTAATTGTACTATTTGTTTGTAATTGAAGATCAAATATTTATACACATGATGGAAAATATTTGGTAAAACTCTGGACTGGTGAAAACCTGGAAATAAGCAAAATTTTAGGATTTTGAAGAATGTAAAACAATGAAAAAATTTCATTTTGTTCATTCATTTATTGTTTTTAAATGCTATTTATATTTATTAATTTTATTTCTTATTAATAAATGATATTATTTATTATTTATATGCTTATTATTTGTTTTGTTTCATATCATTATCCATATTTGTTAGTTATATATTTTTTGCTATGAATAATAGTAATAATAATAATAATAATTTTATAATTATTATGTTTTATTTTATTTTCATGATCTTCATCCATTTTGGGCAAAAGGATTTTTGATTGAAGTGATAGAAAAAGTTGATCTACATTTTTAAAGTGACACTGAAATTACTGAAATTAATTGTACTATTTGTGTGTAATTGAAGATCAAATATTTATACACATGGATCATGATGAAACCTTATGATGGGAATGTTTGGTAAAGCTCTGGACTGCTGTCAAGCAGTGTGTGTTTATTGAAACATTGAGTAAATCCGTGTATGTATTAGAGTAATCATGCTATTTCTGTCTGTTTGTGTTTCTCAGGACTGAGTCTGAGATTGTGAAGTTCACCCAGAGACTCTCTTTGAAGGACAAACACTGCAAGGAGGACAGGAGTCAGTTGTCCAGACCTCCGGCCTACAGGAGGCGCTCTCTCAGTGTGGACTGGTAACACAACATTTGCATCAGTCTATGTTTTCAATAATGTCATTTTAAACCGCTAAAACTAGTTTGCGAAACCAGCCATTTGGACTCAAAAGATGCCAGAGAAGCCGTGCTGGCTCTGAATGCTGCTAGTTACCCAAAGTTTTTCCTCTGCTCATCTCTACAGACATCATGACTCCAGCTCTGACTGTCTCTCTGCTCTCCACCCTCTCCGTCTGTCACGGCTGATGCATGTCCAAAACTCACAAATCTGACTCACTTCCAACATGCTTTTCTTGGGCGCTTTTTCTGAGATCATCATCATGCGCTTTGTTTTAAAGGCACATGAATCTCTCTGCCTTTTTTTTACTGTTTAAGAAAAATTACCAAAGTTTGACCACAATTACTCATTTGGACACACAATTTTTAAAGGTGCTTTTCACAATATGCTTTACACAAAATCATGATGTCGCATTTAGCAGTTTAGAGCTGGATGCGACATTTTGCGACGATACAAGCAATCAAGCAGTTGAGATTTGATATATAGTATATATCCCTTTATGTGAGTATACTGTATGTATGCAAATAAAGTTGGCCATACTTTGTGTCCAACATTATATAAAAAGCTAGTCAATAATATAGTTATAATAGCAAACATATAATTAAATAGGCCCAAATGATTTTATTTAATAGTTTATTTTTGATCATTATATATATATATATATATATATCAAATATATCTATACTGCACATTTTTTTGTTGAATGAAATATGTTTATATGTGCAGAAATTGCTAGTTAATGTTATCACATTGGACTAAAACTTACTGACTTTGCACACATATGGTATAACAGCTTTCCCCAAAAACTGGATAATTTTTGTACTTTTTTAGGATTTTTCCCCACTTTGTTACACTTGTGGTCTTCCCAGTCCACAATGACTGGCCTACGCAAAAAATTATTACTTATTATTATAATTATTATTATATTATATTATTATAATATTATACTTATTATATTATTACTTATAAAAAATTATTATTACTTATTAATAAATTATTATTACCAAATATTGGATTCAATCTCTTTGTCAACTTTTTTTCTGTCGGTTAGCACAGGTTTTGTATTTCTTTTTGGAACTGGTTGATCATAGACCTCACTGATCTGAGCTCATGCACCTCTGTTTTTAAATGGACATTGCCAAAATTATCCATAAATAATGCTTTTTTCACTCCAAAATGAGGCCTACGACCAATCAATTCCAAAAAGAAATACAAAACCTGTGCTAATTGGAAGATCGAATCCAAGATTTGGTGGTGATACAGCATAATAAGAGATTATACAAGCAATTTTTAAAAGGCCGGTCGTTTTCGACTGGGAAAACCAAATTAAAGGGATAATTCACCTAAAAAAAGAGTTTCTTTCTTCTGTTGAATGTAAAACAAGACATTTTAATGTATTTTGGTTGATGGTACCCATTGACTTCCATAGTATTTTTTTCATACTATGGAACGCATTGGCTACCGGCAACTGTTTGTTTCCCAACATTCTTCAGAATATCTTCCTTTACGTTCAACAGAAGAAAGAAACTGGTTTGGAACAACTTGAGGGTGGGTAAATGATGACAACATTTTAATTTTTGGCTGAACTATCCCTTTAAGTAAAGGATTTTCCGTTAAAAGGTATTTAAATCAGCCCATTGTAAACCTGCTAGTATGCACTTTTATGGTGTTGAACTACAAGTTTATGTGCTTTTGTTTGTGCATGAGAAGAGGTTTGTATCGGCGGCCGCATCTGGGTCGTGGCATATGGCAGATTGGGAGCCGGGCTCCAGAGACACATATAACTCCGGGGAGTCTCGGGGCAACGTGTCCCCAGGATGTAGCCACCCTGGCTGGGCACGATGCGGGCTGGGCCCCCCTGTTTTCGGGACTGCACAGAGACTCAAGCAGACTCCCTGTCACCTCCTGCACGCCGAGCTGTCTGTCGCCAGAGCCTCTTAGACGGGCCTAACGTCACACACACATGTACGGGGCCGATGCACAAAGACACATAGGCGCACACGCATTCATACATTGATTGATCCCGCGCTCACACGCGCGTCTCGTCCCCTTGCAGAACATCCCCATGGCGACGGTCTTCTGTCTCTGCTCATCAGAATTAGAGAGATTTGCCCCCTGGGGTGGGGGGGTGAACAGGTGGCGGGCAGTTGAACTCCACACAGCAAACACTCTCACAGGGGAGCGACTACTACTGCGACATCACACGCGCATACCGCCGCATGCACACAAATACTCCCGCGGTTAATCTCTTAATCTGCGCAGATTAGAACGCATACGCCCACAGCAGAAACACGCAAACGCGCAGACGCACACATGATTGGAAAAGACCATGGCTTTACTGCGTTAAACAAACTTGCTCCTGTTCTAATGCCGTCAAAGCGACATGCGCGTATGCACAGGTGAATCACACGAAACGCATTTCACTGCAAATTCAAATGAAAGAAAATGCATTTTCTTTAATGAAAATTAAACCGATTTTTGTTTTGCAATCAGACATTATTTTATTTATTTATATTGTTGTAATGCAGAAAAGTGTCTTTATTGCTGTAATGTGAATATATATATATATATATATATGTATATATATATAATTTTTATATGTATACAATATATTATTTAAATTGTAAAATATTTTTAATGATTTTAAAGCATTTTAAAGGAAGAAGCTGCAGGCAAAATTCATGCACTGGTCAATTTTGAGGTCAATTTTGCAGGTTTTTATTCCTAAATATATGGTGAAAATCTGTTGACAGTGTTTTAACAGTAATAAAAAGAGACATCAAAAATATCCTAGTATGTCAACAAAATGAAACAATTGGCTGCATCAACTGTTCAGATTTTTGTTCTAGAAATGTATGCAAATTTAATTAGATAATACCTCATTTGCATATTCAAACAGCATTTCAGAAAACTTGTCATACAAAGCAGTTGTCTTAATGTACTGTGATTAATCAGCTGGGGAAAGTGTGATGAGATCTATTAGTTCAAATCCTATTCACCTGTACTTTATTATGATAATCACTACTGAGAAAAAACTGAAAAGTAAAACGCCCAGATGCATTATAGTAATGAGAATTTTTGGTGGAAAATTTACTTAATTGTCATTAAAATAATGGGACATTCTTAAAAATATGCTTTGATTATGGCAACTATTATATCTTATTTCTTGTCTGTTGATTTTGAGCTGAAATGTGACCCGTTCTTGTGAGATTCTGATTCTGAAGTGCGTTTGCATGCTGAAGATCTCTGTGGTGACATGCAAACCTGTCGGCGTGTCTTTCAAACGGCGAGGGAATCATCTGATTAGCTTTGATTCCCCATTGTGTGTGTGAGAGGTCGAAGGGTTAGACTGGCTCCACTAGGCATGAAGTACACAAGAGAGAGAGAGGGGTTCTGTTGACCCTAGTAACACACACACACACTAATCTGTAATATTGTCCTCACTGCCCCCCTCCTGTTGCTTACTGTCACACACACTCCCCCTCCAAATTTTGGCTGGTCGGACTGCAGTCTGTCTGGTGCCAAGAATCAAATTTCAGACTCTCCTTCTCGCAGCCACATATAACCCTCGGAGAGGAGTTCCTCTGCCCCCTTTCCGTCTGTTATAGCCAGCTACTCTAAAAGAAAGAGAGACGTCGTCCTGTCTGCTCTTTGCACATTTCTCGTAAAACATTCCAAATGTCACCAGAGTTTTGTTTGGCAGAGTCACTGTTTCTCTCACACATCCGTTCATTCTTATCGTTGCGTCTCTTGCAGTCGTGTGTCGACATAAAATCTACGCTTGCAGTTGTTTAGAATCAAACATGTACTGTATCTCTAAATTTATACTTTATTTACTTGGTTCCATGTCAGAATTAACCTAATGAGTAAAATCATTCACGAACTCGTGATTATAGTTAAGGAAGCTCAAAATTTTACTAAGTAGTGTAGGTAAAAACATCTCCGTCTACGATGTTCTTTCTTAGTTCTTTAATATTCTGAAAGACGATATTAATTGAATGCAATGCAACTGAACTGAATAACGATGTGATCATTTTATGAATGCAACATAATATCGAAAAGCTTCTCTCTAATTTCTACATTTAGATTCTACAATTTCCAGATTTTAAATTCAGAATTCCTAATTAAGTGCTAAATAACTTTACTGGTAACGTTTAATTTTTTCAATTAGTTTCTTGTTTAAAGATGCACAATCTGAAGTGATATGTTTTGCTGTTGTCAAAAGAGATTTTAATTACAATACATATATTTAAAGGCCGTTTGCTCAAAATGAGAAATTCAGTTGCACCGGAAATCCAAACTTTCCAGTTTTATTCCTTCTGAAGGTTATTAGAGAAGGGTTTGTTAAAATATCATTCGCCTGGTTTTGTAATATTTTATTCTGGAATATATGGTGAAAATCTATTTTTCTGTTCTCTAAATTCTACATTTAGATTCTGAAGGTTTTTTCCCAGATTTCTAAATTCTGAATTCTTAAATAACTTTACTTGTTTCATTTTTTGTTATATTTTTTCTTGTTTAAATATGCATAATCTATAGTCATACGTTTAGTTGTTGTGAAAAGAGACAACATTTTTAAACTTGTTCAATGAAAGTTGAAACTAACAGCAAATAAAACCTTTTTTCCATTGAATTTCAATAAAATTTCAATAAAATAAATAAATTAAATAATTGGTAACCATTTTCAGTAAAGTTCCATTTGTTGACATTAGTTGACTACATTAGTTAACATGAATGATACTTATATTAATCTTAGTTAAGATTAAGTTTAACATTTACTAATAAATTAGGGCTGGACAATAATTCAATATCAATATGTATCGCGATATTATTTTTTTCAATAACGGTGATATGATTTTTAAACACATTTCCGATATTTCGATATACATTACCAGTTTCCCATACATTGATTTATTTGTGCCGTTTTTTATTGATTTATTGATTTATTTTTATTTATTGGCGCCGACGGTGATGGCTGCCTCCGTGGCGTGCTCCGCAGTTGAAATAAAAAGCTTTTGTAACATTATACACTATTCCATTCAGTATAATTTTTTATTATTTTTTTGGGAAAGAAATGATAGAAATTAATACTTTTATTTAGCAAGGATGCTTAAAATTGATCAAAAGTGATGATAAAGGCATTTATAATGTTACAAAAGATTTTTCATTCAGATAAATAGTGTTCATATCGATATCGGAATTATATCGTATCGACCGAAATTAAGAAATATATCGTGATATTAATTTTGGCCATATCGTCCAGCCCTATAATAAATTATTAAAATCAAAAGCTGTAAAATAAAAAAAAATAAAAAAAACTTCAATAAAGCCTAAACCCAACTTTGATTGAAAGTATATTAAAATTTGATAAAAGGCAAAGATTGTACATCCCATTATACACAGCAAATAATATAAATCAAATGAACAACTGTACAATATTAAAGGTTAAATGCACTGTTTATCTTTGTTCTTGCTGTCAGTGTTATGTAAAAGGTTCCTAATATTATCTAATATTGTTTTGGGAGTCTCCTGCAATAGAATAACATGCATGCATGGTCAAAAAACGCTTTCGTTTTTTCAAAATAAGCATTTAATATCACCTCATTTTCCAGTGATTCTCAAACGATTCGTTCGAAGCAGTTCTAAGATTCAGTCTCTCTAAACCCCTCCTTTCCCTGAGCCTACTCTGCTCTGATTGGCCAGATGGCCCAGTCTGTTGTGATTGATAATCCATCTTTCAACAGCAAGCGTTTTGTGAATCCCGCGTTGAACTCCCTGAGATTAGAGAAGCAGTCGTCAGTAAAATGGCGTGTTTGTGGGTGGGGTCAAGTTGTTCGCGGCCGGCCAACGTAGAACATAGGCTGGAATTATGCAAATGTGTTACCCCGTGACGTGTAGCCGTCACGGAATTGGGATTCGAATTACGGCTGTACAGAGTCAATTCTTTATTTTGGGAGACAATAGCTATGTTTCCATCCAAAGATGCGAATTTAACTTTTTTAATTTAATTTAACTGATGCACAAAACTGGAATATCGCATAAAACATTTGCGAATAAAGCACAGTTTCCATCCAACGAGCCAAAGAGAACACAATCGTCACTTCCTGATAAACTGGCACTAAATATCTCTAAGAAAACTAGGAGAAGCCACTGAATATAATAATTTTCATATGTAATAAATTACTTGCGCTTCAGAGCGAGCAGACGTAACACAATAAATGCGGTCATTGCTTTTAGAGGTGGATGCCTGCTGTTTTGGAATGCAGTCATGTAAGACATTAATTATACAGAAATACTTTGATGACAGACTTTCCTCAGGCATTTCAGAACGACCAAAACAACATATAGATGCTGTGAACGAGATCGGTCCACTGGTTAGTCAATTTATCCCGTCTCATAGCGCAAAGTCACATGACTTTTTCAGTGCGCATGGTGGAATTTATTCGGTAAATGTGTTTCCATTGTAGTTTATGCACATTTTTTCTTATCGGATTAAAAGTTTATTCTACTCAGTTGTGCGCATAAGTTTTTTTATGCGCATTTTTAGAATTTATGCGCATCTTGCGGTTTTTTATGCGATAATCCAAAATGCGCATAAAAATAGGTGGATGGAAACATAGCTAATAACTATTTATCGTGCACTTTAGAACTTTGCAGATCGTTTACATTCACATACAGCTACATTACACACGGCATGAAAGGCAATATTGGAAATGGCATAATAGGGGCACTTAAAAATATATATTTTTTAAAATATGATGGAATAACATGCATTGATGAATTGTGCAGAATAAGCCCAGGAATGTTCCCGTTGTCATTTATTTTCTGTATAGCAACATCAGATCTAAAAACCGAGGGACAAATATACTCTCCAGCTTTTATCATTGTCTCACATGAAACAAAGCGGATAATTTAGCGGCCACATTAGCGGCGGTATTGGGCTGAGTTTGATCTCGGAGGTAAATGTGAACACGTGTTCGGGGAAACGGTAAAGAGTAATCTCTTACCATCAGTAAGCTCAACACATGCACATGTGTGCAGGATTGCATGTGTTTATATACGCCTACTGTTCTCAATGACTATTATTCTTAGACGGAGGCATTACTCACCCAATTTTCCATACTATGGCCTATTCTCATTTAACCTTGACTTATTGGACATGTTAAATGTGCTCGTATTTGCGGGCTAAATTTTGCTTCGCCTTTTGATGTGATGCCAGACGCAATCCACGGATATTTGAGCACTTTTGCCCCAAACTTGACTGTGTGTTTGTGCACACAATGTAAATAAGTGTGTGTTGCTGTGCACAGTGCAATCCAAGCATTTTTCAAATGAATAGCATTTTGAATTACAAATACGTTCTCCAGCGTGATTTGAGATTCTGTACAAAGAGTCACATGATCAACGTACAGAAGTGCTACTATGTTTCTTTGTTTGTAAATGTTTCAAAGTTCTAAATCTTCCAGATTTAAATCAGATTTGGAATCCCGGGTTTTCTGTGTGGTCTCAGACGTTTGGACCTCACAGTAGTTGTGTGGTGGGAAACTGTTGTGTGTGTGTGTGTCTGTTCTATTCTGTCACTATTCGTCTGATGGGGTGCTGAGACGGCTGTGTTAACATGTGGTGTCCCTGTTTCTTTTGTCTTTCTCTCTTTATCCCTCGTTCTTTCATCTGCTAGTCTTTCATGTGAGTGCACGCGCCGTTCGCTCGGCAGCCCGTGTGTTCGGCACAAGAGGAGAAACTTTAAGCCCGGAGATCAGCCGCCTTTGAAACTGATCCGGCCTGCCACAAATATACCCACTTTTATCTGCACACAGCACATACCTGCCCGTTAAAATAACCGCGTTATTAACAGAGCACTCGGAGGTGTTCATCTGTTTCTGACCGCGTGTATCCGAAGTGGACAACGCTCCGTCCTAATACGAGAGCATTTGTGACAGTTGTAGTTCTTGGAGCGCTTTGTTCTCTTTCCAAATCTGAAGTCCCTCTGAATGAATCTTCATATCCATGTATACATGTATACAATATTAGTGGTCAATCAATATAGGTTTTTAGTTGTTGATTCTTAAAATTGTACTTTTAGTCCCTTCCAATCTTACTCTATTTTTTAAAAAAAATTAAGAATAAACCTCACTATTTTTTTATGTTTTAGAACAAGAAAAACGTATTTGCAAGAAAGATTGTAAGGGACCAAATTTAGAAAAATAAACTTAATTCAAGTTTTATTCTCTGAAAAGTCAAGCATAATTTTGCATCTCAAGTGAAGTATTTTTATTTTTAGTCAATTTATTTAAATTTATCATTTTATATAGGACCCATTAGTAAACGTTAGTTAATACATTAAATAAAATTAACTAATGATGAGCAATTAATTTTACTGTATTTTTCTTCGCAAACAATTAATTAACTGTATCTTTGTTAACATTAATTAATAAATTACATCTGTTCATTGTCAGCTCAGGTGCGTTAAATATTAACAGGTACAGCTTTAAATTTTAGTATTGTATTAGTAAATGTTGAAATTAACTAACTAAGATTAATAAATGTCTTTTTATATATAAAAAATGGAACCTTATTATATTAAGTGTTATTGAAATATTTAATGGAAACAAGACAGAAAATACATGTTGAATATGTTTTGGTGGAGGATTTCTTGTATAAAAAGGCTATTTTTACATAGATGTATTTAAGTCCACTCATTTTTGCACACTGAATATAAACCTTCAAAGAAAATAATTAACACTTTTTTTATTATTATTATTATTATTATTATTATTTTGTCCTGAGGACAGTGCTGACAGCATCTCTCTTTATTCCTCATAAATTCTCATTTCTGGTGTAATTTCTTTTTCAGGGCAGAATCCAAAATGACTCAACAGATTCCAGACCCCCATCCTCTGATTCCACGCAAATACGCCAGCACGTCATGTTCGTCTCCGCCGAACGCCGCGCGACGTCTCTACAGAAACCTGTCTGGAAAGTTCCGCACGGCGAACCTTGTTCTGGATGATACGGCTCTCCCGGGCCAGTCGGACAAGGACCATTCGCACAAAACCACCATGGTGAGATGCAAACACTTCAACAAGAAGTATGCAATAATAGAAACCAAATTAGTCTGACTTTGCAGCTTTTTCTGGCTAAGAACCACCCACTTACATATGACTGACATATAAGGCAACCAATCACAACTGATGATGCTTTAACCTTCAAAGAACCATATTGCAACTCAAAAATCACATGCAGTCAAAAATGGCATTGGTATATTTCATGCATGTCTGTGTTTGCAGTTTTACAGCATGCATTTTTCTATGTGTGTGAGATATATCTATGCATGCATGTCTAGTTCCAGGGAAACGAAGCTCTGTTTGAAGCTGTGGAGCATCAGGAACTGGACGTCGTGGAGTCTCTGTTGAACACCTTCAGTCTGGAGGAGCTGGACTTAAACACCCCCAACAGTGAAGGACTGCTGCCGCTCGACATCGCTATCATGACCAACAACGTCCCCATGGCCAAACTTCTGCTGAGAGCCGGGGCCAAAGAGAGTCCCCACTGTGAGTACACACTCCCTGTGATCAAACGCATGCAGCACGAGCCCCACTTTATGAATCATAAACCATACATCTACAGATGTTTGCCACATGCTATACATTACAATAAAGCTGTAGTGGCTTATTGCTTCATTATTGAATTTATTTTATTTTCTTAAATGTGTATATATATATAGTATTTATAGAGTTTTAGCTTTTAGTTTTAATTACTTTTTCTTATTTGTAAGTCGCTTTGGATAAAAGCGTCTGCTAAATGACTAAAAGTAAAGTAAAGTAAAGTAAATTTAACTGTACACAAGTATAGGAAATAAAGTGAAATTTTCAGTGGAATTGGTTTGACTAATCAAATGAAAGGGGTTTTAGTGCCGCTCACATGTGCGAATAAAATATCGAAGACATAAACATTATTGTACATAATAAAAAAGAGAAATCAAGCCCAATTTTTGTTTTCAAAGAAAATGAGAAAAAAACAAAACAAGACATCTTTTCCTTTCTCGTCATTACTTTCCAAATAGGAAATGAAATGGTTAAAACGTACTTAAAACTGTTCCTGGGTTAAAAAGTTTGAAGAATCAAAACTCTGGTTTATTTTTCATTATTTGACAAGATGTTTGCAGGTGTTTGTTTAATGTGTTTTTTGTATCCTCTAGTTCTAAGTCTTGAAGGCAGAGCCGCTCACCTGGCCTCCCTGGTGCAAGAGGCGGAGCATCGCATAGCAGAGCTAGTTGCCCAGGTGACGGGGGAGGAGCCTGGGGAGGGGGAGGGGTCAAACAGAGAGAGACATCTGAAAACCTGGGAATGGAAGCTCCGCCTCTACATGCGCATGCAGACTGGATACACACACGCCAGTAAGTAACACACACACACACACACCTGAGGATATAGCAGCCATGTGTGGCACTGAGTGTTTCTTTGTGTTGATTCCAGGTCCTCCTGAGCCTCCCAGTGTCGTTCATCTGTCCGTCAGCAATAGCACCAGTCTCAGAGTTTACTTCCAAGAGCCTCTTTGTCACAATTCTGCTGTTATTACCAAATACCGCGGTGAGTGACCCCTGACCCCTGTTTTAAGATTTAGATTATATCACTAAAACACATGAACACACACAACTGACTAGTCAACTAGCTGGTGAGAATCAGCAATTTGACTGCCAACTAGAGAATATATGCCAGATTATATCGAGATGATGTCACTTTTCACATATATCACGTAGCTCCATTGCCAAATTCACACTTTTATATATTTGTAGTTTTTATTAATATTTTTAATTGCCTTTTTTATTTTCATATATTTTCATATATAAGTAGTAGTAAGTAAACTAGTTGTATAATATTGAAGTTTTATCAATATTTTAATTGCCTTTTATTTTTATATATTTTCAGTTTTAAAGTAGTAAAAATAAGTAGTTGTAAGTAAAATAAGTATACAGTATTGTAGTTTTTTAATATTTTTAATTGCCTTTTATTTGAGATATTTTCAGTTTTATTTTAATTAGTTAATTTTTTTTATTTAATTAATTTTTAGTAATTTTGTTATGTGGTTTTGTCAATTTTATTTTTTATTTTTTTAAATATTACACTTTTTTTGTTTTAGTTTTCATTTATTTGCAGCTAGTAATTCACTTATTTAAATTAGTTGCAAAGGTAAAAATGACAATTTTCATTTAGTTTAAGTCTAATAGTTATATTTTGTTTTATTCCAGCTGTATTGCAAATAACAAAAATGTTTTAATAGCTTTACTTTTAGTTAATTCATGAATTTAGTTAATTATTTGCTGATAAATAACCCTGATGCTGTTATAAACAAAAATGTCAACAATTCTGTGTTTTTCTGTCAATATGGGGTGCTGTGTGTACATTAATGAGGAAAAAAAATTAACTTAAATGATTTTAGCAAATGGCTGCAATATAACAAAGAGTGAACAATTTAAGGGGGTCTGAATACTTTCCGTACCCACTGTATATATTACCCTTGGTTGTAGTATCTGTCAGACATTAGGGTTGTTTAATGGGTCCCTGAGTGGTGCAAACAAACTTAGACCATCTTAGAAGTTTAGAAGTTTGCTGGTCAGACTTTGTGAACAAAAAACTACCCCGTATCTCTTCATTTTCACATTTTGCCATCACATTATACAAAACAACAGCACACAAATAGACCAGGACACAGTTTGTTTCACCATATAGAACAAGCACAGTTGAAACCGCATGATATGTGACTAGTAGACACAGTATGGCATGGTGGTAGAACTAGTTGACTAGTCAGTGCAGCTCGGTCTGTGCATCTGCTGAATGACTGCTTGCCTATGTGTGTCTCAGTGAGCTGGAGCAGCGTTCCTTCATTTACTCCATTACTGGGTGAGACGGTCATTGAAGACGTGACTCAGCTCCAGTATGACATCACTGGACTTCCAGCGGTTAGTATGTGCAGTAAACCGTACTGCAAACAATATTACCACAGCTGTCAAGCTCCAAAAAGCACCGGAAAGCTTCACAACATACAGCTTGTGCACTATATTTCAGATTTTCTGAAGCCATATGATAGCTTTGTGTGAGAAACGGAGCTGACATTAAAGTTATTTGTGACCTGCTCCATCTTTGTGGAACACATTAACCCAGAAATGTATTTTTAATTTTATGAATGAAAGAAGCATTTTATGAAAGCAGCGGATCTCAACTACTAGGAAGCCTCAGAAAGATAACTCTAAAAAAGTATTTAAATACTTTTACAAACATTAAAGACAAAACAAACATTAAAATAATCTAAAACAACTAAAAAAAAAATCCCCCCCCCAACAGCTTCTAGACCTGGAAAAGTCATGTAAGTAAATTATTTCTGAATTTACATTTTGGGTGAACTGTCCCTTTAAGCTATAAAATATCTTTGATTAATTTTAATATTATAGGTAATTTTAATATGAATTGATTAATTTTAATATTACAGTAAATTTCTTTGGAGGAAAGAAACGTTGTTAGAGGTGGAGAACCTTCTGAAAAAAGATTACTGTTTATCATATTTAAGTTTTGTTATGAGCTTTTGTCATTTTTATTAATTCTTGTTAATGTTTCCATTTAGTTAAAAAAAAAATTATTCACCGTGTATGTTGTATTTTATTTCATTTAGTTGCCAAAGCAACATTTCTATATTTTCCGTATTTCTATATTTAATTTTATTTCAGCTTAATTTCAATCGATGAAAACAAATTTTAATCGTTTTATTTTTATTGTTAGTTAATTATAACAACATCGGTGCACAATAAAACAATAAAAATATTGTTTTTTATTAGTTTTGTAAGAACAACAAAAGTGAGCAAACAACAAACAAAAAAAGACAAAAAAAATTTAACAAACAAATAATTAAATAAACATGAAAAAAGCCTGATGAATTTGAACTCTACTGAAAAAAATGAATGTTTTTAATGAATTAAACACATCGCATCTTTTCCAGTGGAAGGTTGTGTTAAATACAACATCTCTCGTTTCAGGGCACATGCTGCTATGTCCAAGTATCAGCATATAATATGAAGGGATGGAGTTCACCTCAGATAGCTGAACCTGCTTGTGCTACACCTTCAAGTGAGAACACACACACACACACACATTCAACAACAACAAACAGGACAGATGTTAGTCACGTTTGCTTTCTAAGAAGTTGCATGACGTGTGTGTGTGTGTGTGTGTGTGTGTGAGATTATGTATCTGTGTTTGTGTATGTTATGTCTTGTGTCCTCATTTTTTATGTTTGTGAGGACAAGCCCTCCTTTTCTCCCACAGATTTTAGGGCTCTTTTATGTCAAGTGTGTGTGTTTGTGTGTGTGTGTATTGAGCATGCTAATTTAAATGTGTGTGTTTGTGTTTTCCATTTCGACTCCCTCTGGAAATATTGCATGTCTGTGAGAAGCTGTAAAGTCGCAGACAGAACGGCTCTTATACACCAACTCACACACACACACTTGTTGTCTCCCTCTACAATTCATGCTCACATACACACGCCATTTTACACGCACACACAGAAATGATTTTCACTCAATTTCTCTTATTTACATTTTGCGTCCTTCCTTTTTCCCATTCGCTGTATCTCTTTCATAACACACACGCGCACACACTCTTGGTGAGGTTAGCTGGGCTGAAGAGAGGGTCTGTGTTAGACATTCCCGGAATAGAGTATCCATGTTTTCCCTGCTTCCTCAGGAACCGGCCTGCAACCAACACACCGTCAGAACATCATCCTGTTTACTGTCCTAAGAGAGTGTGTGTGTGTGTGTGTGTGTGCGCCTGATGCAGGGATAGAAGGTTTTTATGTTTGTGAGGACAAGCCCTCCTTTTCTCCCACAGATTTTAGGGCTCTTTTATGTCAAGTGTGTGTGTTTGTGTGTGTGTGTATTGAGCATGCTAATTTAAATGTGTGTGTTTGTGTTTTCCATTTCGACTCCCTCTGGAAATATTTGCATGTCTGTGAGAAGCTGTAAAGTCGCAGACAGAACGGCTCTTATACACCAACTCACACACACACACTTGTTGTCTCCCTCTACAATTCATGCTCACATACACACGCCATTTTACACGCACACACAGAAATGATTTTCACTCAATTTCTCTTATTTACATCAAGTTTGCGTCCTTTTTCCCATTCGCTGTATCTCTTTCATAACACACACGCGCACACACTCTTGGTGAGGTTAGCTGGGCTGAAGAGAGGGTCTGTGTTAGACATTCCCGGAATAGAGTATCCATGTTTTCCCTGCTTCCTCAGGAACCGGCCTGCAACCAACACACCGTCAGAACATCATCCTGTTTACTGTCCTAAGAGAGTGTGTGTGTGTGTGTGTGTGTGCGCCTGATGCAGGGATAGAAGGTTAATACTGAATGATTTACTGACAGATTAGTGTACACACATTACATAATCACATAGGTTTTGTCTGGTCGTAAACATTTACCACCCTGAACACTATAGCAACTACAAAGCAATGCCGTGGCAACCTTCTTCAACACCCTAACAACCAGCCAGAACACCCTAACACCACACCTTAGTAACACCTTAGCAACCACACTGAACATTCTAGCTACATCCTAGAACCCCCTAGTAATGCCTTAGCAACCACTGCCACAAACATTGCCCTTGCATCCTCTGTCAACACCCTAGCAACTGCCCAGAACACCCTAGTAATGACTTTGTAAACACCCATAACACCATAGCAAACACCAAGCAATGCCCTGGCAACCTCCTTCAAGCAACAATCTAGAACACCCTAGTAACAACTTAGCAACAACCCAGAACACCCTAGTAATGCCTTAGCCACCATTAAGAATACCATAGCAACCACCAAGCAATGCCTTGGGAACCTTCTATTCTAGCAACCCCCCAGAGCACCTTAGTAACATTTTAACAACCACCCACACATAGCAACCACTTAGCAATGCCCTGGCAACCACTCACAACACCCTAGCAACACTTTAGCATTGTTGTGGCAACTTTTACATGAGCAAACACCGGTTACCATAAGAAATCACCTAGCAAACGCCCACAGCACCATAGCAAACACCTAGCAATGCCCTGATGACCACCCAAAACACCCTAGCAACACCTTAGCATTGTGCTGGCAACTTTTACATGAGCAAACAACAGTTACTATAGGAAATCACTTAGCAACCACCCACAACACCCTAGTAACTGGATAGCAACACCTTAGCATCATGCTGGCAAATTTTGCATGGGTAAACACCATTTACCATAGGAAATCACCTAGCAACCACCCACAACAAAATAGCAACCGCCTAGCAATGCACTGGAAACCACGCACAACACCTTAACAACTGCATAGCATTAAGCATTGTGGTGCCAGTTTTTACATGAACAAACACCAGTTACCATAGGAAATCACCTAGCAACCACCCACAACACCTTAGTAACACATTAACAACCACCCAGAAAACCATAGCAACCACCTAGCAGTGCCCTGATAACCACTCACAACACCCTAGCAACTGCATAGCAACACCTTAGCATTGTGTTGGCAACTTTTACATGGGCAAACAAGACGAAATTTCCTAGCAACAACCCACAACACCATAGCAACAACCTAGCAATGCCCTGGCAACCACCCACAACACCCTAGCAACCAACCTCCCACAGCTTTGAAAGACCTTTTCATATGCATCTGTTGTTTTTTTACCCACAATGCACTGTTTTTTGAATCTCTCTCTGTGTTTCTGCAGGCTGGAGGGAGGTGGACGGTCTTCCCCCCCGCCAGCAGGGTCTGAAAGAGGCGTTGGAGCAGCTCCTGGTGCAAATTAAAGGGGCACACCGTCACTGCGCCTGCCACGGTAAACACTCACTCACTCACACTGGACCTGAATGAAACCCTCCTCATTCACAGCGAGTCACCGCCACCACTAACATCACAGCACTTTAAAACAAATGCTGAGTGAATGATTCAGAGGGCTGGAACGCGGGTGTCTGCGGTGCGATGCCGGGGGTCCTGTTTGTTGTTTTTATGGCATCAGCGCTTAGGGTTTATTTTACTGGGAGTCGAAGGGGATACATTTGACTCGACTGTAGGGAGTAAAGCACACTGGTGCGTGCGATCACATACTCTATGAGGAAATCACCACCTGCTCATTCCTGTCTCTTTAAACTCCAATTAAACTAGAAAAGGGCCTTTAGATACATAGGCATCATCTTCACTGAATAAAAAAAAAAAAGAGATAATTGTCCAGTTTTGAGAAAAAAAAGACTATTTTCTTACAATTTTACAAGTTTATATCTCACAATTCTGACTTTAAATCTCACAATTGTGTGTTATGAAGTCAGAATTGAGATATTAACTCGCAATTTTGAGAAAAAAAGAGAATTTCGAGATATAAACTTGCAATTCTGAGAAATAGTCACAATTTATATCTTGCAATTCTGACTTCATAACTCGCAATTGTGAGTTTACAGCTCGCAATTCTGAGAAAAAAGAATTACAAGAAAAAAGTCAGAATTGTGAGATAAAGTCACCTTTTTTATTATTTATTCAGTGGTGGAAACGGGCTTTCATACTTCACTGTCTTCTCACTGCTGGCTGTAAAATATGTGGAGTCAAGCAGATGCTTTACCTTCCTTCATTCACACACACTGCATAAAGAGTTGCACCAATTTAAAGTCACTTGAATTGGGGTCTGTAAAAAAAAAAAACTGGGAGATTTATTGCCAAAAATTAATTTTTGAATGCTACACTAACAGTGCTGTAGTGTTATCATGGTATATAATATCATGTACTTTTTTAAAATTTATTTTTTATTATTTTTACGACCGTTAAACACATTTAAACTCCTTTTCTCATTACTGTATGGAAAAAATAATCTAATTTTATTATTAGAATGCTGTAACGGAAATCATCCTGTCATAAGGTGATGTTCTTTTTTTCTGTTAACATCAGCATAAATTACATTCTGTACAAAAAAATTATACTTTACAAGTGCTTAATTGTTATAAAAATAACATCGCGATCCACTAAAATAATTTTTATTTTGTTTAAAAACAAGACTTTTATTTTTTTGGATTAAGTATGTCTTTTTGGTAATTTAATTTAAATAATTATTTGATTACAGTAATTGCCATTTTTGGCAGTATGTCAAAAAGCTATGCATTTTATTCTATTTCAATCACTAGTGTTTTATATGCACTTCATATTCATTAATGGGTCTAATCTGTATCCTTATGAATATTCAGGTTAAAGTTAAAAAGCAACAGCTATTACTATTGAAAAGCAAATACTATTAGTGAGTTATCATTTAATCTGAAAGCTAAAACTGCACATCTGAACTCCTCTACATGAATATCTGTGCTGTATTTGACATGTGTGACCTCTCTGTGTGTTTAGAACAATGCAAAGCCTCGTCAAACACCAGGAAACACTCTGTGTCTAAAAGTCTGAGGCATCTCTTCCAGGCCACCAGCAAATTTGTCAAAAATCTGAAAAGGTGAGAGAAAACAGCATCAGAAAATGCCTGCTGCAGTGTTGAACGCTCTCAACACACCATATCTTGCATTATCTATGACTTTCTCTCTTCCTCTCTGTAGAGGCCTTTATCTGGCCTGTATATTTTATAAAGATGAAAACGTTCTGGTGACTCCAGAGGATCAGCTGCCCGTCGTTGAGGTGGACGACTCGTACAGCTGTCACGCGCAGGATTTACTCTGGTTTACAAAGGTAACAAAGTGTTGCACGCAACCAAATCACTCTGTTGAACCTTCTTGTGATATAACCAATCAAAGCTTTTGTAATAGTACTGGTTTGGTGAGGTGTATTGCCTGTGGTTTAGTTTTAGCTTTTTTTTTTAAGTTTAAATAAATGTAATTGTTATTATATATAATTGTTAGTATTATAATTGTTTAAAAAAAAAAATAATTTAAATTATATAAATATATAATATTTTATATATCAGTCAGCTTTAATTATATAGCGCTTTATACAATATGGATTGTTTCAAAGCAGCTTTACAGTTATAGACAAGAAAATATTGATTCAGTGATGCAAACAAACTTCAATTCTGCTGTAAAGCAGCTCTAAAAATACAATAGTAAGCATATGTATGTATGTAAAGTTTATTTTATATTTATAATTTTTTTTAAACAATTAAAATAAATATTTACAAAATAAATAAATAATTTAAATATTTTATGTATTTTAATCATTTAGTTTTTTACTGGCAATATATAAAAAATATATATATAAAAACTAAATATAATATTATTAATATATATATATATATATATA